TGAGTCTAGATGGTCCAAGCCTAGAGCCCTTGTTTCAGTCACTCACTAGATTGTATCTGCTAGAACCACTGTCAAGGACTAGCACCTGCTGGCTCGCTCCTTCACAGCCAGACAACGCAGTGGAAAGGAAAAGGAAAAGTCCTGCTGATGCTTTATGATCTATAATCATCCATCCACACCACCCTCTCTGTGAGCATCCACCAAGCCTTTCTCTGCTCCGTCTGTCTACCTCTCCATCCATGCCATTGTCCATTCATTCATCCATCTATCCATCATTCAATAAGTCTCACAACTCATCTGCCTATCCATCCATCTATCTATCTACCCCCTGTCCTTGCACACATTTATTTATCCATCAATCCAACTATACATAAATTCCTATCTATTTACCCTTCCCACCCATCTCCCCATACTCTTATCCATTTTCCCATCTGTCTACCCACAGTCCATCCATCCATCCATCCATCCATCCAAACTACCTATCCAACCACCTATTTAATCATGCATCCCTCCCTCCCTTCCAACAGTCACTTTCTTAAGTCACTTTCGATCTTTCTTGGTACAAATTATCAGAGCTGAATCAGCTGTGGTCCTGCACACATTAGGCCTACAATGCCCCATGAGACTAGAGAGCAGACATCTCTAGCTTCAGCGTGGAGAGTGGACTGAGTCAGGTGGGTTGGAGAGAATGGGCTGGGAGACAGATCTGGAAGCAGAGGTCGTCTGGTTTGAGACGCCAGCTTTACCATGTACCAGGCAGGTGACCTTAGACATTGGTTTCGCTCTCAGTGTTTTCACTTCCTGTCTGATAGACCTACAGATAGAATCTGCTCCACAGGGTTGTGCAGGGTTGGGTTAACCAGTACAAGCAAAGTGCCTAACCCAGCAGGCTGCACTCAGTAAGTGGCATAACACTTAGTCAGTCAGTGGTGGTCATTTCTATTTGCTGCTGTTGTCATCTGCCTGCAGAGGGACACAGAGGCTTGTCCAGAGCAATGCTCCCCACCCTGCCACCCACAGAAATCTTGGTGCACAAGTGTTGATAAGAATTGATAAGAAGAAGGTTGTCAAACAAAGGCAGATTCCTACTAAATAAAGCTAGAAGCAGGTGAAGACCTGCAGGACTCCTTGGAGCCTTTACTGTGTTCTTGTGGAATGAGGGGAAAATACTGGAATTTCCCACATAGATTTAGCCATGGAACCATCTTTCAAATAATTTCCATGTCAAACTTGCAAATGGTATGTGGGACCCAGTTTGGGGTACACTGGCCTCCAACTCTCTCCTCTGGGGGAATGATAACTAGCACTCCCCATGTACATCTCCAGAGATCCCTGTCGATGTCTGTGGGTTCTTCTTCTAGGCATGTGTGGAAGCTTGAGAGTGTAGATGGGGCCAAGTCTGTAAAGGACGTGTAATTCCAAGTGGCCGACTCACAATTGATTTGGGTCATGCCATCACTTCCAGTTGTGTTTAATTTGGGCAAACAATAAGAGCTGGTCCTTCCTGGGATGCATGCTGGTGGTGTTCGTTCACGTATAAAGAGAAGCAAGGGTAGGGTGAGGGGGGGCAGAGAGGCAGGACAAGGCAGGGAGGGGGAGGGAGAAGAAGGGAAGGGGAGGAGAGGAGAGAGAGAGAGAGAGAGGAAGGAAGAGGCAGAAAGGCAGGGGGAGGCAAAGAGATCCATCCTTTGGGCAAACACCTGTCTCTATGCTCAGAATCCCTGCCTCGCCCACTCTACATGAGACTCAGTTTCCTTATCTATAAATTATTTATACACAAAGCTGCCATGGGAAGCTTTCCTAATGATTGCATGGGATAAAATAAACAGACATGATGGACTCATGAAAGCTTTTCCATCTGGCACATGTGTATACTCAGGAAAGTGCCCTCGTGTGTATATGTGGATTCCAATGGCCTAAGATGGTGTGTAAGAGCTCTAGCCCCGAAGTGCATCCTGCATTAGGATCTGAGTCTATCACTAGCCGTGTCCTGGAAAAGTTGCTTAACTTCTCCGCACCTCAGTGTTCTCATCTTTAAAATAGGAATCACACCAGCACCCACTGATGTGTCACTGTTTCACATGTGAAATTCTCTGCCAGAGCCTGGCACAGAGGCAGGTCCCCATCCTCTCTACTCATCAAGCAGTCGTCCCCAACCTGCTAAGCCACCCCTCGGAAACCAGTCTGTGAGAGCCGATGGTAATCCCTCTGGGGAGGAAGCGAACTAGAAGCCCCATGGTGACCTGCAGGGGTCATCCCTGGAGTGGGGCGGAGAAGGTTACTTTGTGCGCTAGCTCCCTCTGTCGGGAGCCCGTCTCAGCACCAAGGACAGAGGACTAGGGCGGGCTCACTGCCTAGAGGCCCCTGGCTCCTACTGGACTAGAGGCGTGGCCCACCGTGACTCAAGAGTCTGAGAAACAGAACAAAAAAAAAAAAAAAAAAGAGTAAGTCCTGCCTCCGGCGGGCAGCAGATCCATTAGTAGACAGAAACTAAATTAAAAGCCCGTGGCTGCCCTGGGTGACTTCTCCTTTGCTAAGTCACCCCGTGCCCCCTGCAAACTGACTCTCTGCGCGCCTGAGCAGCAGGAGAAAGGGCTCAGCTCCGTTGCTGTGCTTAAAGGAGCTGGAGGGGCGGGGCTGTTGGCTGAGCTCGGAGTGGGTTGTTACTGTTATCATTACCATATGGTAATAGGCGTGCATTGGCAGCCTGACCACTTCTAGGGGAACCAACTCTGCACCTGGGTGAGATGTCTTCTTTGGTGGGCCCTGCTGGGCTTCACAGTTCTGGACCTCTGAGAAGGTTTGTGGTCACAGCTTGAGCACAGAGATAAGGGACAAACCAGTGATCTTCTCCCATCCAGCCTTTCGTTCATTCTCCCATTCATCCAATATTCAGTGAAGACCTACTATGTGCCACTGGCCAGGGTGACCAGTACTTTTTACATAGGGTAATGTTCAAGAACAGTGTGGATAATCAAGATGACTTGGAATGAAGTGGGTCCACAGAGGTGTCCAAAGTCCAGGTCGAATATTGTTAACCATGACAGCACATTTCCTTGGTTCCCAACCCTTTCTCCTATCTACCCTCCCCATAGATGCTGTTCTCAAAGGGCTCCATGGAGGCACCACCCTGACCCTCAGAAGCTCCCCCAGGGCTCTCTCCCACCTGGTTGAGGGTGGGGTTGATGAGGAGCATCACCCAGGTAGGCAGGGGCTACAGGCTCCTTTCATTCCCCAATGGCAGCCAGGAAGCCTAACCCACTCAGTCTTCACCTAAGGAATTCTTACCTGTCTGGGCTCACCTGGCGGTCTCCCACTGCGGCTGGGCTCCAAGAGCAGGAATGCTCACATAGAAAAGCATGCATTTCTTGTAAGCTCAGCTCGGTACGGTGGGGGCATTTGGGCTTGGAGCGCCTCAGCTAGGGAGCCTCTCACACAGAAACCTGGATAGCTTTTTCCTGAGCAGAAGCAGAGAGGTGGAAGGGAGGGGTTGGCAGTAACTGACAGGAAGGGTTGTGCTCTTCCCGTGGCCTGGTTAGGTCAGAAAGAGATTCGGGGAGAGATGCCCTCGAGCTCACCCTCAGCAGCTTGGAGAAGATGAGCCTTGGGGGAAGGACAAGAGGGGGCAAAGAACAGCCAGAGAAAGGATAAAGGCCCAAGACTCCAGTGTTCAAGCTAGATCCAACACAATCAGGCTGGCAACCAATTAGTCTGATTCAAAAAAAAATACCCACGTAGGGACAAACTGTAATCAAACACCTATTTATAAGGGTTTATTACGATCATTATTATTATTTTACTGAGAGGATCATTCTAAAGCTTGTCAGGTGAATGTATGTGTTCAGATCTAAATAAATGCAAATCGCTCCTTCCCTGGAGCCGAGAGGCTGAGCAAGCTGAGCTGAGCTAACTGCTTGGGAAGCCACGTGCTGAGGCTGCAGAGGGCAAAAGAGGGAATCTGGTTCCTCCGTGGGGGATCCTGGCACCAGTCTCTCCCAGCACCTGCCAAACCATTACCCACCTTTCTCCCAAGGACCACAGCCAGTGGAACTGGCAGTGTACCCATTGCCCATCTCAGTAAACTGATCCACAAATGGATGCAGCAGCCTAGCAAAGCTAGGGGAGCCGAGACTTCCCAGGAGAGCGCCTGGTTTCCGGGCCCAGTTTCACCCCCTGGTTCTGCTGTCCATTCTAGACCTTTTCAGTCTAACTCCCGATCCCTTGTGTGACTTCACTCCCCACTTCCCTCCCCCACCCTAAGAACTAGGAGCACCTGTTTCCTCTTTGCGTGGCAGGAGATCCCAAGGCCATGTTGGGCCCAGGCTCAGAGGTGTGTGTGTGTGTGATCTGTGGGTGGCTACCAGAGCAAAGACCTGACACAAGTTTCAACACCCCCCCTCCCGCTTCTCAAGTGGAGGAGCTGGGGTGTCAGGCCTGATTAAAAGGTGACAGCTTAGTCTCTGACCAAAGAAAACAGTCGTGCCTCTCGTGCCCGGTCCTGCCTGGATGCAGAATGCAGCTGCGCGGGGCGCGGGGGTGGATCTCTTATTTGTGCAATACTGAAGCCCCTGAGCCCCTGAGGAGGACATCCATGGTGTCAAAGCCAGCCCCGAGGACCCACAGACCCCCATTCCTCCGGGGGAAAGCATCTGTCTTCTAGAGGGAGGGTACTTGTGTCCATCATGCTGAGGAAAGGGGGTATGCAGAGACACCGCCAGGTGGAGGGGGGGTTCGGGTGGAGCAAAGCTTGGTGTGTGTGTATAGGTGGATGCGGCTCACAAGCAAGCGGTTGTAATGTGATGGGGGGTGGGGTAGGGGGTAGGAGCAGAGCGGGAGGGGGCGAGTTCTCCTTTCTGCAATAAATCGGCTTAGCGGACGAGAGCCGAACAGCCCAGAACGGATTAAAGAAAAGTCTGTAGAATACAGCGGCGAGAGAGGCACGGGGGGCGGGGGCTGGGGGCGGGGCGGCAGGGAAGGAGGGAGAGGAGGGGGCGCGAGAAGAGCGAGCGCAGGGCAGAGCGCGGCGGCGGCGCGGGCAGAGCTTCGGCTCCAAACTCCGCCACTGCAGCCACGGATCTGACTCCGGCCACCGTGGGCGCCGCGCTCAACCGACCAGCTGGCAGCAGCTGCGCGCCCCAGCCAGGTCCAGCGCAGCCCAGAGCAGACCGTGCATCGCAGGGCAGCCCGGTGCAGCCGGTGCAGTCAGCACATCTGGTGCAGCCCGGAGCATCCTAGTGCAGCCCAGAGCAACCCGGTGGTGCAGCCCGTAACAACCCTGAGCAACCCGATACAGCCTAGAGCAGACCGGGGCAGCCTGGCGGCCCGGCCGCGGTAACATGGGGCCGTCTCCGTGGCGCCCCGCGCTGCTCGTCTCCGCCACGGCCGGCGGCCCGGGTCACAAGCGCGTCTGAGCCCATGGCGAGGGGACCCACAGCCGCCACCACGATCGCCGCCACTGCCTCCCCGGCCAGCGCCGCCAGCTCTTGGGCACCATGCGAGCTGCTCCAAGCCTCCGCCGCGTAGCTTGCCTGCTGCTAGCCGCGATCCTGGACCTGGCACGCGGTGAGTGTGCGGGCGCCCGCGGGAGCCCGGGGCCAGGGGATGCGCGCGGGGACCGAGAAGGGCGAGGGCCCGGGTGGCTCTGCGAGTCTCGGGCTGCAGGCACAGTCCTGGAGTGGGGCTTCTGTGCAACGAAGCTTGACAAGAGAAGATAGGTCTTTGGAGAAAGCCTTCGTGGGTCTGTTTCAGTGTGTGTGTGTGTGTGTGTGTGTGTGTGTGTGTGTGTGTGTGTGTGTGTCTTTGATGCATCTGTATGTGAGTGTCCGAGAGAATCAGCTGTGTGTGGAGAGGGCACGGGAGTGCATTTAGATTTGGCTGTGTAATGGTGTGTGGGTCTGTGTTTGTGAGTGATGTCGGAGAGTCTAAATCAGTTACACGGAGGTGTGGGAGAGAAAGTGAGTGTTTGGGGGTGTGAACTCTTTCATGAGGGTATAAAGTGTGTGAGTGAGTGTCGCCGCATGTGTGAGCCTGTTAAGGGGAGGATTGTGAGGTGTGGCGTTTCACGTGTATCCCTGCTGTGCTTGCTGGCCCCTGGAGGGCTGTGTAAAAGCTGGTGACTGTATTTCTGTGATTTGGGGGCAGGAGTGTGCCTACCTACACGCGGAAGTACAGGGCTTCAGGTTCTATGAGCTTGTGGTCTGGGAGCAGGAGCAACATGAGGAAGCTTAGGGTTCTGTGTTCAGGGAGCTAGGGTCACATCTGGGACTGGAGGGGTTCCAGCAGTATGGTTGTGTCTGTCTGTGTGTCCTGCATGGACTTGGCCCTGGCCTAGTCTGAACCAAATGGAAGGCAACTGAAGCTCTAAGGGTTGCCCAGAGCCAGCAGTACTGAGTAGTTCTCGTGTGCGGGTTGGGGCTGCCTGGGAGGAGGGGCATCCTGCCCAGCACTGCCCTCTGGTGGGTATTAAATGATGAGGAAGCCAAACCTGAGGACCTTTCCAGCAGGGGACAGGGGCAGATGCCTGCCCACCAGAGCAGAGGCAGGGCCAGCAAAGAGTCAAGGGAGGGAATTCCAGACCACCTAAGAGGAAGGCTCTTCTCCAAAGTCAAGTCACAACCACCGAGTTGAAATTAGAGTAGGGCTTTCCCTCCCCCGGAGGTGGGAGGGTCTAAAAAGTAGCCATTGTCTCCAATGGGGCCTTGGCCTCTGTCCCATTTAGGCCATGGTGGAGGGTCAGTCCTTGTCCCCCATACTGAGAGGAACCTATATGAGTTCTGAGATTGTCCTTCGAGGGACATGCCCCTAAAATAACCTACACTCTTCAACCCCCTCAGTCTTTGAAGAGAGCTTAGTCTACTGAGTTTTGAAGGTGGTCCTGTAGGCAATGGGGGAGGGGCTGGTGTGACATCAAGGCATCTCAGGCAGGTAATTTCTACCTTCTATCCTCTATGGGAGCGAATACTTTCCGCAGTGGTATCAAATCCCCCGCTATAACTTTGGGAGCGAGGGCTCCCCCTTTGGGATGCCTCTAGATGGAAAGATGGTACATGGGAGGGTCCGGGTCCCAGCGCCACCTTGAAGGCGCTGGCTTTTTGGAAATGCATTGGAGCCCTCACCTGGACGTTGCAGGCAGCGGGACTGGGGGCTGGGGGCCGGACGGGAAGCACCCCTTTCCCTCAACCTGAGATGCGCCGCCGCATGATGAAAAGAGGCAGGGAAGGGGATGAGAAGAGCCATGTAGGGAACCCCGATTGCGTCAGGACCCCACCCTGTGAGCTGGAGACAGAACTGCGAGCCCCGGTCTCTGGGTTAGCTTCGGAGAGCTATCTCGGCGCACTAAAACCTCAGCTCGGCTCGCGAGCCTCTGCGGGCTGCGGGAAGCGCTGGCTCCTGGCACCGGGGTGAACGCATGGAACCGGGACTCGCGGGTGGGGGTACACGTCGCCTTTCAGCTCCGCAGTCCCAGATGTCTCGGACTTGAAACTTTGTGCTGGGCGCAGGGATCCCGAGGCGACAGAGACTCCTTGAATTCCTCCGGGAAAGATCCACTTTCCCTTTCCAGGCTAGGCCATCATGCGAGGCTGGAGCGCGAGGAGGGTCCTGGCCAGGCGTGGCCAGCGCCTGTGCCGGAGGAGGGCGCCTTTCCTGCAGGCGGCTGCGACGCCCACGATCCGTGCACCTGGCATAGCTTTGCGGAGCCACCTGCCAGGGGATGCCTGGGCAGAGATGGGAGGGTAGATTCCAGGCAGCGCACCGAGAAACACACTGGCCGTCCCCGAGGGGACGCAGTCACTGTTGCGAGAGGGATAGGACCGGTGTGGTGGCAGAGCAAAAGGGCTGAGTTGGAGAAGTGTCTCTGTACCCTTCGCAGCACTCCAGTGCCCTGCTCCCTACCACCAGACTCTCCCAAGAAGGCCTCCTTTCTCTGAGCTCCGTCACTGCCTAGGGACTCCCTGAAGCACCCTGAACTGGACAAAAGGAAAGGACATACTGTGTCCTGGTCCTAAAGAAAGTGCCTCAGGTTGAGGAGGGAGGGAGGGAGAGAGAGAGAGAGAGAGAGAGAGAGAGAGAGAGAGAGAGAGAGAGAGAGAGAGAGAGAGAGAGAGAGAGAGAGAGAGAGAGAGAGAGATGGGGCGCCTTGGATTTGCCTGGTTCAGCCCTGGAACATTCTCCGCTGCAAGCAGTGGGCTCTGGGTAGACCTAATCAGAGCTAAAAAGGTCCAGAGACCTGGCCTGCTGGAGTCCGTGGGGCTGGGGGTTGGGCGGTCCTGCAAGCTCCAGTTCTGCATCCGAGTGTTATCAGGTATGGTCTGAGGGCGGGCTCCACGATGCTCATGACCGTGGGGCCTGTGGCTCTGTGAGCAGGTACACGAATTTCGTAGACGGTCCTCTTTCTGTGGCCCCCACCCCTCTGCTGCGTGGGGACACCACACTCTTCTGCGTGTCTCCACCCTCTGCTGGGGACTGAATGGGACCTAGCCAAGACTGACTTCTCTGACCCCATGCACTATCCACGCCCCCATGATCCCACCCTTCCTAAACAGCACCTCCCCACACCCAAGAACATGTTCCTGGGAGGTCAAACTACTGAATTGCTGTGAGTGAGGGTTTCGGGTAGGCTCAGAGTGACTCCAGCTTTCAGGGTCACTGAACTTTGTGGGCTTTTACCTCTCCCTCTAAAATTCCAGTGCCTTGAGCAGCGTGCTATGCTTCTATGCTAACATAGTGTGGTCTAGGCCAGCGCCTGGACCTGCAATAGCCTTGGTTCACAGTATTTTTTAAGACACTCCAAGACCACTCCTGTCCTGATACCCTGGCTGGAATCCGGTGGTGGTTTGATTTTGACTTTTCTCCTCCATAGCTTCCATTGTAGTGGTCTGTCCTCATTCCTGCCTCAAGATGGGTTCACGAGCCTATATTTACAGATTAGGAAACTGAGGCTCCGTTCTTCAAGATCAATCACAGACAAAAGCATCGCTCCTTCTAGCTCCCTCTTGACCCTCTTTCCACTGTTCCCTCTGGCAGCAGAGATTTCTAGTGGGCATGGTGTGCTGGCACATACCGTTGAGTCTCATCCATCTCCAGCAAGCCTCAGCAGAGAGGGGAGGAGGTAGTGGGGTTTAAGGAAATGCTCTGGTTTGTAACCATCCAGGACTTTAATGGCAGAGGTCGGTCAAGAGGAGGCGGGAGGCCAGTGTTTCTGCTAACTGGCTCTAAGAGTCCCAGGAGTCTTTGACCTGGACGGTCAGCATTCTGGCTTTTCTCTCTGTCCCTCTGCTGCTACCCAGCCCGATGAACACTCATCTGTACACTGGACCCATGCACACTGTGTGTGGCATGATGGGGCGAGGCTTTGCAGTGGGGCTGTGGACTTGACCAAGCAGGGCAACGCCCATCATAATGATGCTTACAGTTCCTGGGAGGTGATCTTCTGCCCACTGGAGGAAGGGGCTGTGAGTACTCGGGTTGTGTGCGTTTTCTCTCACAGTTCACTGCGTCTTATACTCCCTTTGAGACATAAAATTAGTCCCGTTTTGCAGAGGAGGAAACTGAGGTTCAGGGGAATTAAGTGACTTTACCAAGGTCACCCAGTCAGTAACAGGGGAGCAAGGGGCCAGCACTGTGCTGTCTGTCTCCCAGCCTGGGCTTTCGCCCTGGGATGGCTGAGGGACCCAGGTCTGTCTGCATACTTCACCCTTCACCAGACTCAAGGTGAAAGAGAATTATTCAGTGTGTTCATCTGCACAGATGGGAGAGGGCGTGTCCCTGGTAGACGCTGTCATCATTAAGAAAATCAGTGGGCATCTGCTGGGTCAGGGTATGTCTGCAAAGAGAAGGACCAGCAAGTGTGACCTCATTCTGGTGTGTGTGTGTATGGGGGGGGGGCATGTTCCTGAAGAGATGAACGCCTCTCTCTTCTCTTTTCCCTCCCCTTCCTTCCTGTGCTTTTCCTTCCTTTCCTCTTTCCCACTTCTTTCCTCTTCCCCTCTCTTCCCTTTCCTCCCCTCCTTTCTTTTCCCTCCCATTCCACCTCCTTCCCTTTCCTACTCCTTTCCCTTCCTCCCCTCCCTTCCCTCCTGTTTTGCATCCTCTCTTCCCTTCTTCCCTTCCCTCCCCAACTCCTTTCCCTCCCCTTCCCTACTCACCCACCCTCCCCTCCCCCACCCCCTTGAAACACTAGGCAAGCTGAGAGGCGTTTCTGCCAGGTCTGTAGCGGTCCCCACACAGCCGCATTGCTGTCCTTGAAGGCAGGTGCAGCCACTTGGAGCATGTGCTAAGGGAGTTGGGCCTTCCATTTCAACAACAGACTGTGAAGACCATGGTGTCACCCCTAGGAGGTGCCCATTCTTAGGAATAAGTTTCAGGGGACAAACAGGATGGTAAGGCCCCCCACTGTGTGTTTCCAGGAGATCAGGGGCAAGAGGGGGGGGCCTACTGGCTGGTCTACACTCCTCATAAGGAGCTCTTGGATGCAAAGTGAGGAACTAGAGGCAGTCACTATGGAGCCCAAGGCAGCAGAGAGACAGCAGGAGCAGGGCCCTGTAGTGCGGACTTGATCTTAGCCTGGGAAGGAATCTGTGCCGGCGTGTCTGCCTGCTGCCTCCCACCAACCAGGCACACAGATCTTTCTGGGCTTGGCTTAGACGCATTTCCAAACTAGGTGTCAGTGAGACAAGACCTTTGGGTTGCGTGACTCAAGCCAGAGCTGCCCCCACGACACTCAGGTGTCTCTAGGGGAGAACTGGCCTCAGCTACAGTTGGGTGTGGCCCTCAGGACCAAGACAGGACCATCAGACAGAACCTGAACGCTCCGCAGAATGTAGAAGATAGAGAACTACTTAGGTTGCCCTCCTGGCCGATGAGGCCCTCAGAAGCTGCCCTCTGTCATTTCCCAGGGCCTGGGGTTGGTGAGGCTTACCCCTCAGGAAGGGATCTGAGATGGACCCAGTCACAGTGCAGAGACATTTGACAGCCTGGGGCTTCTGGTAGGGGGCTCCTGTGTCAGCCATAGCCACCTCCTAGCAAGTCCAGCTCAAGGGGTATTGAGGGGGAGCCTCCCAAGTCTCCTCATCAGCCCCTCTGGAACTGGAGCCCTCTGGAGGAGGTGTCAACTTCCTGAAAAGAACTGCACTGGGCCCTGTGTGTGAAACAGGATTATTCTGCTGTTGGTAACACTGGGAGGGCTGTGTGGTTCACTGGTTAGAGGTGGCCGGTCCCATCCCTGTGCTCCGCCTTCCCTGAAGGACAGAGCCCCACTGAGTGTCATCTGAGATCCACATTGTCATCTCTGCTGAGTGTGACAGGAGCCTTGCTTGTTTCTGCTCATTTTTGCATCTTCCCCTAACACACAGTGATGCCCAGTACAGGGCTATTCATATTAATAAGTCACCTTTAACCTTTAGACACACAAGCCGGGTTTAGAGGAGCCAGCAAGCACATGACGAAGTTTGCAGCATGTGTGATTTAGTCTGGATAGACAAGAGAACTTCCTGGCAGGAAGGACCCTCTGCTCTTGGAACAACAGCCTCTCTTGCAGAAGACTGGTAGGTCATTAGAGTGGTCATCGAATGAATGAATGATGTCTCCCCTGAGCCTGGCACTCAGACACTGGGCCTGGCTTGTCTCCTGACACTGCTGTGTCCGCCACCTCTAGGACTGTGAGAATGTGCCTGCTGTCCAGTTCTGTGCATTGTCAGGCACAGTCACTCTGGCTGGTGTCTGAGCAGACCAGTCAACTGCAGAAGATGGTGGGAGGGGCACAGGGCTTCAGTGTGCTCCCTGGTGCGGCGTGGAGAGGGGTGATGCCCTTGGCTGGTGCCTGATGTTGGAGATGAAGAGGGAAGGAGAAAGGGAGGGAAAGACAATTATTGAATGGTGACCTTGTACCAGACAGGTGTACCCACAGATTGTAAGACAGTCTCCCCACTTTGCAGACTAGGCTATGAGGCTTGCGTAGCTTCTGTGACAAGCCCAAGGCCACCCTGCAGCGAGGTAACTGGCTCTACCTGGCCACTCTCTGCCTGTCCCTCCTCATCCATGAGTGTTTCCTGTTACTAACTTGCAGCTGACTGTGGAAGGCACATTGATGTCCCAGAAACAGTCAGTGCTACAACAAGGTCTCCAGAAGAACCAGCTAAAAATCATTGGGCAGGACACTTAGGTCTGCTGGGCCCACTTCCATCTTGGTCCTATGGCCCAGTAACCAGTGGTCTTAAGTTCCAGTCCCCACTTGAACTGGGGTCAGAGCCACCTACTGCCTGGTACAGTATACCTGGGTATGTCTCTACCCATCTCAGTATTAGCCTCTTTGTCTTTTAACAGGCAAGAGCAGGAGACTGGGGGTGTGGCTTGTGTGTGTGTGTGGTTTTATTATAATGTATTTCACTGTCAAGAGGTTGGATATGCCCAGTAGTGCAGAGGGGTCCAAGGAAGATAGAAGAACAAACATGTATCACTGAGCCTAGAAGGGGTGGCCAGAGACCAGGCTGGCACTGGACTGTGGATGGACAGCAGGCAGAGGTTGCTGCTAACCAGGCCCAGGGTCTGGTCTGTGCTTGGAGCCTGGGAGCCAAAGCGAGTTTGGCCCTGTAGCTGGGAAACTTTCTGGAACCTCTGTTGGGTGATGGATGATTGTGGGGCTTCCAGAGATAAGGTAGCCTCCAGGAAGACATACTGCCCTTCAGGGACTATCCCATGGCTCCCAGTCCCGACTGGGGTCTTCCGGGACTGCCTGGGCCAGAGCCAAGACTGATGGGAGCAGGTACTGTCTGTGGAGAAACATCTAGTCTCCAGCAGGCACCTGACCAGTCAGGTCTTGTCTCTACCATGTGCCTCATGCATGCATTTGAGGCTGAAGGCATTTTTCCCAGCCTTGGTTTCCCCAAAGGCACAAGTCAGGTAAGGCTGCTGGGACAGGCATGCCAAGCGAGGCAAAGAAGCCTTGGTGTCTGGTATTGGACAGGGACAGGAGACGTGGCTGCTAAAATCACCACCTCTGGCTCTCAGAGAGTAGTGCAACCCCCTGCCCGGGAGCCCAGACAACGTGACACAGTGCAGAGACATGGCGGCATTGTAAAGAACCTCCCAATTTCTGAACCGCTGGAACCGAAGAGTGTTGGAGCCAGAGGAGAGACAAGCCGTCTCCTCCACAGCTGTTTTCCTTAGTTCAGCACTTGGGGCCTCGTGTGCAGTAGGCAAGGTGATCTGAGCCACAACACTTAAAAAAAAACACTGTTGATTTTTAGATGGAGTCTCTCTACGGTAACCCTGATTGTCCCAGAATTCGTTAGGTAGACCAGGCTAGACTCAAACTCACAGAGATCCTCCTGCCTCTGCCTTCCAAGTGCTGGGATTGAAGGTGTGTATCACCACCCCCAGAACTTCTTGTTGCCTCAGCTTCTCAGAAGCCGAACCGTAGGCTTGTGCTCCTGACTGACTTGTGTTCCTGACTGGCTTGTGCTCCTGACTGACTTGTGTTCCTGACTGGCTTGTGCTCCTGACCTGACTTGTCCTCCCTGTTACTAAGGTACGCCAAAACGCAAGGTCTGGGAAGGACTCTTTCCTAAGCCCACCCAGAGTAACGCGGGGGAACGCGTTCCAGTTTCTCGTCTCTGAAGAGTCCAGTGAGAAGATTTCCAGGGTCTTCTAGTGCCTGGTGGAGACTTGGCAGCAGTTGGGAGTGGGTGGAAGGCAGTCCGGTGCCCAGCCTCACAAGTCACAGGATTCACCGGGGAGTGGGGCAGCTGAGCTGCTGGGTATTTGTTGCTTCACCGTTCTGTCCCCTTGTCCTTCTGTTTCTGTCACTGCAGAGGTTCCTCTGATGGAACTGTTTCTCACTAGTCACGGGCACTCCCATTATCTCGCCAGCACCATCCTTTCCTTCCCCCTCCCCCACACCTCACCCAATGGGAAGGTGTCCATTGGGGCTGCCCTGGCATTTTGCTGGGTAGCACAGAGGTTCTGGGGCGCAAAGGCCAGGCTGGGAGTAGGCAGGGGACTGGCAACGGCATTTGTAGTTGGTGCTCATGGCTCATCTCCTGAGACAGCCTGGCTGGTATTTCATCACGCAGAAATTCAAGCTGTATAATAAATAGCCAAAGGCCAGGTGCCTGCCTCCAGAGAGCAGGTGAAGAGCTCTAATTGTCACGGGGCACCTACTGTCCCAGGCAGGGGCGGAAGGAGAGCTGTGGGGACAGCCGTGATGGCCACTTCACAAAGACCTCTTTGTTCACTTCTGCTGCTGAAAAGTGGGTCGCTGCTTGCTGGGAGGGGAAGCGGTGTGTGTGGTGGGGGAGGGGGTCTGGAGTCTGTCAGAGCGGTGTGTGTGGTTGGGGTGGGGGTCTGGAGTCTGTCAGAGCGGTGTGTATGGTGGGGGTGGGGGTCTGGAGTCTGTCACCTGACTGAGGAGATAGAGGTGGGATGAGGAAGAGGCATGGAAGCCTGTGAGGAGGCTCCTGAGGCTGGGGCTGCCTGAGTGGGCGGGGTTAGTGGCTTCCAGGATAGCCAGAGCTGCAGGGAATGGCTGCTTGGCTCAGGAGCTGGCAAGGTCCTCTCTGGTCCTCCCTCCATCCTCCCTGCCTCTGCCTCTTTGTGCAGCAGATGAAGATTGCAGGGTTCCTGGACCACGCACCGTGTTGAGTTCTAGAAATCCAAAGGAGAATGAATGAGTTACTCCAGGCCTTAATTAAACTTACGGTCTAGGACCACAGCTGTTGAATGGCATGGCTGTGGGACCAGGGAGATGGCTTGGTGGGTAGGGCATTTTCTGTGGGATCCCCAGAACCCATGAAAAAGCTAGGCATAGTGCACCCCCATAATCCCTGGACTGGGGTTGGGGAGGTCAGAGGCAGGTGGATCCCAGAGGCTTGCTGACTTGACAGTTTAGACAAAGGGAGGGCCACCAGGGTCTGTGAGAAGCAACTGAAGAAACATTCCCACGTCAGCCTCTGGCCTTCACACACGCCTGCATGGAGTGTGTGTGGGGAGGTACACCTGTACACACATGTAAATACACATACAGGTATACATGCATACACAAATACACACGAGTACATACACGCAAACATACACACATATACGTATGCACGTACATACAAACCCACACATGCACACACATGAAAAGAAACACTAAACAAAGTTTCTCAGCATGCACTGACTGAGTGGACAAGGTTCAGTCACTGTGACCACACAAGCCACTTGGCATGGGTCCTGGTGGCTGATGGCATCTGTGGGATGGCTCAGAGGGAGAATTCTACCTCAGCAGGTCCCACCGGCAGGTTGGTCTGTGCCCTGATTCCTTTAAGGTGGGGAAAGGGTGGGGGCTGGGTGCTCTTGCACATTTTGTTTTTCAGGCTGTCCTCCCATCCCAGGACAGCACCTCAGGTGAGGCCACCCATCTTGAAATCTCTGCCACCACCGCTAGCCTCCCTGTTAAGCAAAAAGATAAGGAGCTGGAGACTGGGAAGCGTAGGACATATTTGTTGTCTCATAACTCTTGAGGCTGAGACAGGGAGATCATGAGCTGGAGGCTAGCCTGAGCTACATAGCAAGTACCAGGCTAGCCTAGGCTACACAGCAGGACCCTCTCTAAGACAGAGCTCCATCACTGGGGCCACAAGCCTTCCGTAAGCGAGAGGGAGCAAGATGTCTCCCGTGTCAGCTTGGTTCTCTTTGTCATTGGGTTCTCGGTCTATTTAAAGCAACTGGTGTTGGTTTGCCATTTGGGGCCGTGATTTAAATTCTCTCTCTTTCTTTAAAGTGGTTTTATCTAAGTAAATAACGAGGGGAGTTAAAGAAAAATGCTAAACGCATTGCAGAGCAGGTGGCAGGGATCAGGTAGTCTGGGGAGGAGGTGGATATGAGCTGTGAGCCACTGAGCGGGGAGGGAGCCTTTGAGAGAGGAGGAGCAGGCTCGGGCTTCAGGGGCACAGTCTGCGTGATCTGTGAGTACCCAGGGTGGCATGGGACCCCAGGGGAGGGGCCATCTCAGGGCCGTTTGTGCAGGGACTGGATCTCCAGCAGCCTGGGGAACTGTGAGACGAGGAAGCAGTAGGCATAGAAACTGCTTGAGGGCAGGACGGCCTGGACAGAGGGCACTTGTTAGGGACCTAAAGGAGAAGCTGGCCGTGGGGTCTGCTGTTGGTATACACTGAGCAACAGCTGGAAGTTCTAGGTTAGCCTCTGAGGCACTCAGCACATACAGAGGCAGAATGAGTTTTACTGACAGCGTGAGAAGCAGCCCACTCCCACCCAGCCTCAGTTTCCTCATTTGTCAGGGGAGGGATGCACTCTGTGGCGGCCTGATGTGCTTGATGACGGTGCTGACGAGAGGCAGAGCCCGGTACACTAACCATACTCTCCACATTGACAGTTCCACAATGACAAGTTTCCCCCTGGGACAGGAAGGAGGTAGCCTGGCTTCTCCAGGACATCGCGGTGTGCACAGGGTGTGCCAGCTCCCACACTAACCTGTGACGGCCTTTGCCGTGTGTCCTTCCAACTCGAGATGTTTCAGAACCCCTGAGCCTCCCTGATCCCGGCCACCTCGCTGATGGATGACTTCACCCCAGGGTGCACTGATTCGTCATTCCCAGTCTATTTTCCACTCTGTTTCCCACGGAGATGTTCTCCCTTCTTAGATCCATTCCGATCACCTTTCCTCACATCCCCACTGGCTCTTGCCGTGTGACACCTGAGCCACATCCATCACCAGCAAGCTCCAAGCAGGTGCTCCTAGCCGCGACTCTGCCTCACAGGCACAGGTCAGGGGAGGAGGCCCACGAGTGAGCTAGCGTGGTGGAGTGCAGAGTCTTCCTCTATTTAAAGTCTTTTAGAGCAATCTCAGTAGGGAGATGTTGAGCCCAAAGTCTCCTCTGAGAGCACCCCACATCTGCCCACACACCTCCCTGCTTCCTTCCGAATAGGCCAAGTTCTTTCCTCCTGACCAGCAACTTCCCCGTCCCAGCCCTTCCTTCATCTACCTGAAGGTTCAAATTGACTTTGATGCCGACTAATTTTGCCAGTTGAAATTCAGGAGAGGCTTATGCACATGGCGCTCATCGAAAATTGCAGTGACAAATGCCAGCAACAATTTCTTCTCTGACACCATCTCTGAAGGGCTGGGGACCAGATGGAACTCCCCTGCCTCGAGCTGCCTTGCAACAGTCCTGCCCTTGGCTCTGCTCCTGAGTGGGTCCCATCCCAGCCCTTCCACCCCTACCCTACCCACCCCTTCCAGTTGGCTTTGTGTCCTGAACCTTCAGGACATCTGGTGCCACCTTGGGGACCAAGTTGGAGCAGGTGATATTTCCATGCTTGTTAACTTTTCTGTGTACCAGACTGCTCTAATTATTCGATAAAGACCCACCTCTGTGTTCTGTGGGATGTCTCTCTGTCCATGCTCTTTGGGCAGGGTGCTAAGTCACACGAGAATCCCACTTCCCTGGGTAGTGGGTGCTGGTGGGTGCTGTCTTCCTTAAACTCTGCTGAGCTATCAACCCAAGTCCCCTTCCCAAGACCTTTGTCCCTGGCACACCCTATCCTTATTGTGCACGTGATGGGTCTCTGAAAGTCAAGTTGAAAGTCAAGTCCACTCTCCCTGTTCATTTGTCTTGCACTCAGCATAGTGCACAGCTTTCGATACTGACTGGATGACTCGTAGTTCACATTCAAACACTCGTGTGGCTGACTCTCTAATAGACAGTTCCTAATTGACTTTGAGGTGGCTGCAGGAACCCTGAAAAGGACTGGTTTGTTGGGAAGGCCTCCAGCCTGTAGGTCCTGAGTCTCAGGAGCTGAAGTCTATGAGACTTCCAACCTCCATTAACTCTCTTCCACTCTCCTATAGCACTGAAGGATGGATCTGAGCGATCTGGGAGTCTTCCACAATGGTGTATGTGGAAGACAAGTCCCATCCATGTCCACAAGAGCTCCTAAAGACTCAGCTGGTGTTTCCCCCAGCTGCAGGAACCCACATTTTACAGAAAGAGAAACTGTGGCTCAGAGGGTTTAAGGCACTTGCTCAAGACACCATAGTCTTCTGAGATGAAGTATCACCCCCTGTAGGACCCTTCTCAAGAGTAGATGTAGGACGGACAAGGGACACTCCAACTGCCATGCATACCTGGAGTGTAGACCTGTTCCTTCTGTGAGCATCATCTCTGAGTTGGACCCTAGGCTCAGGCTGGGGCTAAAGCTGGTTAAGATCATTGTCCTCAAGTGGGCAAAAACTCATGAGTCAATAATTACTATTAGAAATTATAAAATGGGGAGAGTCACCAAGCCCATGGGGGACACAGGCTGGGGAATCACTAATCTACGTGCAAGCCAAAGCTAACCAGAGAGGGACACACATGACTGGGTCTTGAAGATAGTTTAGAAGTTTGCATGGGGAACATGGGAGCTGTAGAAACCAAGATCATTGTCTACAAAGGGCCTGGGGCACCTGGAGTTCTGGGAGGCAGGAAAAGAAGTGAGATGAGGTGTGACAGTGACAGTGAGCTAGACCTGGAGTCACCTAGAAGACAAGTCCCCAGGCATCTGTGAGGGATTGTCTAGACTAGGTAAGCCTTCTGCACATCATCAAGAGACTGTCTTGATGAGGTTTAAGGTCGGAAGACACACCTACACCTGGGGTCCTGGCCAGAACGAAAAGCAGAAAGTGAGTCGAGCGTCAGCGTTCATCACGTCCCTGCCTGGTCATACGACTGTGGATGCCGTGTGACCAGCTGCCTCACATTCTTGTCACCACGGCTTCCCCATCATGGTCGACTGCACCCTTGAACTGAAAACCCAAATAAACCCCTCCCTCTTAACTGCTTTTGTCTGGGTGTTTTAATCACAGCAATGGGAAAAGGGACTAAGATGTAGCTGTGATTGCAGCTCCGTCCTGAGACTCATGAGAGTCCTGTTTCCCACTGAACAGGCCTCTGGGGCCAAAGGTTGTTAGTACTTCTGTCACCTGTGTGTGCCCGGGGACAGTTCTGACTCACGGTCCAAGATGGGGCTGCCCAGGCCCAGATCCACTGCAAGTGGTACCAACAGCAAATGTGTCCCAAGCACCCTGTCTGTGTGTCCAGCACTGTATCTGCTCTCAGCTGGTTGAACTCACTCTCATGACATCTTCCTAAGAGGCACCTGCTTGTACAGAATCTTCATTTTTTTTCAAAAGAAACTGCAGCCCCGGAGACGTTAAGTCACTTTCTCAAGGTAGCATGGCTAGTGTGTGGTCCTGTTTTCTGCCTGCCTGTCTATCTGTTGGCTTGGTTTAACCTGATCTTGGTTAGCCTCCCATCCAAACCCCATGTGACCCTTGGTGGGGATCTGGAGTTCTAGGACCTTATGACTGGGTCACTGGGAAGGCCACAGGGCCTGCCCTTCTGTGATCTCCATCAATGGGAGGTGTTCCCTGTGCTCTGTTGTCTCTGGCCTCATGATTATTATGTCTGTGTCCTGGAGAAAGCGTGCAACCCGGGGCTTTAAACTTGAAAGGATTTTACTTAAGCAGCATTGCTTCCCACAGAAAGAAGCCATACAGGCAGATTGTGTATCTATATTTAGTGCATCATGCAAAGCTGGGCGGACAGGTGGGGAGGGGCTGGACAGGTGGGGAGGGGCTGGACAGGTGGGGAGGGGCTGGACAGGTGGGGAGGGGTTGGGTAGGTGGGGAGGGGTTGGACAGGTGGGGAGGGGTTGGGTAGGTGTGCTGTTGGCCAGGGAGATATGGTCCATGGTGATGGGTAAGCACACAGGCTCTGCAACCAGCCCTCCCTCCTCCAGGAATCCCAGAGAGCATGGCTTCAAGGAAAGTAGTGTTCTGGGAAGAAGTGGAGGGAGGATGGGCGGCATACAGGGAGGACCACTAGGGCCACGCAAAACTAGACAACAAGATCTGCCTTTCCATGCTGTGAGCTGCCCTAGGAATTTTGACTTTTGTACATGCCAAGCCTTCTGTTCAAACCCACATCCTTCGAACTGAGACCTTCGTGTGTGATAAGTCTCCTCTGAGACATCGATATTTAGGGGTCACCTGCCATTCTCACACATGTGGAGCCCAATAATGTCTTATGACCCATCCTCAGACCTCCCCCTACACTAGCACGTGTCCTGGGGTGACTCAGTAACCTGTAGTTTGGGGAGTTGGTAGATGCGTGTCTGCTCCTCAGCAGCTTAGGACCATCACACCAGAGACACCCAGAGCTATGGATGGGTTCACTAGGCCTTCAAAGCCAGACCAGCAAGGAAGGAAGAATCCCAACTTGCTTGCTCTGTTCATCCACCTGCCCACAGATCCACACATCCACCTGTATGTTGTCTCCATCTGCCCATCTACACACATTCATCCACTCATCCACACACACATTCACTCACATAGGCATCCGTCCGTCCATCTGTCCATCCACCTGTCCGTCTGTCCATCCACCCGTCCATCTGTCCATCCGTCCATCCACCCACCCACCCATCTTTCTCCAACAAACATTTACTGCATCCCCACTGTATTACAAGTGGCCCAGCAGGCATTGGACGTGTGGGGAATGAGACTAAGGTAAAGGCATCCCCCATGAGCTGCCTCCTCAAGGGCAAAACTAGAGAATAAGTGTCCCCATGAGTGGGGAGAGGCGCCCTGTCAGGAGCAAGAAGAAGGCTAGAAGGAGCAATGGCCACAGGTGGTACTCAGTGGGGAGAGGCCTATCTGCTGCCCATCTGCCATACTTCAGGTGCTGGGCCTGCAAACAGGAGCAACACCCCAGTCACCATGGCAGGACCATGCGGCTGGAGGCTGGACTTGCAGGTTTGCAGTGAATGAGAGGGACTCTGATGGGACAAGGGAGGGCCTTAGAAAGCATGCGGGGTACTCAGTATTTGACTGGCTCGGAGCTTCCAGACTGAGCTCCCTGGGACCCCCAGTTTTCCACTGGGTAGCACGGAACCTATTTGGAGGTGGCACATGGGTCATTCCTGACTCAGGGATTCCTGTTCAGTCTTTCTGTTCTCCTGCCTGGGGGAGTGGCACAGTCAAGCAAAACCTTCAGGGGTGAGGACCGGAGGATGAGGGGAGGTCCCAACTTCAAGTGCCAGGTGCATGATCCTCTCTGGTCATCTCTGCACGGGGACACTAAGGCTCGGGAGCTGTGAGTTGTCCTGGGCCACCAGAAGGGATGTAAGTACCTCAGGTTCCTCCCACCTCCCACGCAGCACTATGTGGGTTGCTGTGGAGACGCCCCTCTCCGGCTCCTCGCCCTTCCCTAAGACACCCCCATGCCCCTCCCTCCCCACTGCCGGCCAACAGCTCCACCTCGCCTCACGGGAGCCTTGAATTAGCAGGAATGTCCTAGGATCCCACGCTTCATTGTGTTTTATTAAGAGCACCCGGGCTGGCTCTGGCTGGCACAGCTGCTGGCCCTCCCCACCCCTCCTCTCAGAGCAGGGCCTGAGCCACGTGTTACGTGCTGCTGTGAGGGGGGAACCCTGCAGATGCACACAGACTCTGCGACTAGAGAGAGCCCTGCGAGGTGGTCACAAATCTCTAGCACACCTGGTCTTGTGGTAGCCATTTGGAGGATGAGCTCGGGGAGACTGAGGGACCAAGCCAGAGTCACACAGCACAGGGTACATGCCCCTAGTCTTCAGTTTATGACCCTTTCCCCGGGGTCTATGCAATGTCCTGGCCCAAGAGGAGCTACCCTGTGTCCCCTGCTGGCCACAGGGACGATTGGTGCTCATCCAGCAGCTTGTGAGTTTGGGTTTGAACCCCTGAAACAGCAAACATCTGGTAATATCTTCTGGGGCATTCACCCGCCCTCTCCCCACTGCCTAGAAGATGCTGTCAGGGGTGATGGAGAGTGGAGGCTGTGTGGCCGCTGACACATATGGTGACAGTGTCTATGAAGTCTCCTGGAAGGACTGGAGGTGTCTTGAGTGGAGAGAGGGAGGAGGAGCATCTTACCCTCTGTATTATCACTGCTGTTGTTCTTACCAGTTACAATCGGCTGCTTGCTTATCTAACACTGGTCTACTACTGTCAGCCCGATGTGGCACTGACTGGGACCCCAGGACTGACAGTGGGACAGATGAGACAGATGTAAACATCTGACTGTAGCCCTGCGGCGGACAGAGTAGCCCAGGACAGGAGCCAGTGAGGCGGAAGGGAGATGCAGGGTGACATCTCAGAGGAGGTGTCTTTGAGCTAAACTGGGGGGGGGGGGGGGCAGAAGGAAAGTGGGCTGAGTTCAGCTCCACCTAGCCAAGGTGTGTGTTAGTCGCCGACCCCTTCTCAGGCGTCCTTACCCAGATGTCCCGCCACTGGAGATCTGTCGTCTGCAGTTTCCTGGTGCCCCTTTGGCTTTGGACACGAGAAACAAGGCATTCTGAGTCAAAAAAAAAAAAAAAGCAGAGCAGGAGACGGGGACAAACACACACCAGACCAACTCTGGATGGCTTTCTGGAGAACTCCGTGGTGGGTCCTGCACCATCTCTACTTTGCAGATAAGGAATCTGAGGCAGGACAGGGTGATGTTTTTAGGGGAGCTGGGTTCCCCTAGAGTCTGTCTGTCACTCGACTCCTCCCCCACTTCCTGTTAGCTGATTGTGTGTGTCTGATTGGGTGGGAGTTAACTTCAGCACTAACGCTCCACCCTCTCCTGGTCAGTTCCACTGTGTCCTAGGATGGCCTCTGGCCCCGCAGGCCCCAGTGAGGGCACAGTGGGCTATGTGGCTGTATGCATTGATGTCCCTCTGAGCTGGCAGGCGACGGGAAGCAGAAAGGTATTAATTAGCAGTTATTTGCTGGATAGAGATTAAGGTGTCGGCCCTCACATCCGTTTTGGAGCAGCCGAGAAGCAGTGGTAAATCAGAGCTATGAATCGATGCTGCGAGAAGGAGATACGTTTTAATCTTATTAGTGGCGTAGTGTTACGGAGCTCAGAGAAGCCTCCCTCAGGCCTAGGAGGGAGAGGCTATTGTGTGGGAGGGGTGGGGGTGCTCCATGGGAGGATTCCAGTTAGTGGGTGCCCTGCCCAGCTTCCTGGTGTCTTTGTCATGGATTTAACCCTACTGTGTGTCCCTCTGGGGTCTCCTCGGGAATGGGTGGCTCTGAGTCGGTCCTGGGTTCATCTGCGTGGCCTAGTTGGGGTTTGATTTGTGCCCTGAATCACCCAGGATCAGCGTCAAAACTGAACGACACCTGCTTCTTGGTGAGGACTGAGGCTGAGAGAGAGATTGGCTGGTGAGAGAGAAGGGGGTAAGGCCATGGTGGGTACCGGGCGCCACTCTGAGATGTGCAGCCTCAGCCTTCCCATAACTTAGGACGGTGGGCGTGTTCCTGCGCCATTGCAGGTGCACCTGTGCGTGGAGTGCATGTAGAGATCAGGGTTAGCCTCAGGTGTTGGAAATCACCTTCCATCTATTCTGAGACCCCATCATCCTGCATACGCTGGGGTAGCTGGCCCCAGGGCTCCTGGGGTTCTCCTGTCTCCATCTCCCATCTCACCACAGGAGAACTGGGGTCACTGACACACACTGCCACCATGTCCAGCATATGCAGCGGGCTCCGGAGAGTCGCACACTCACAGCAAGCACTAAACGCTGCTCCACCTCCTGTCCTGCTGCTTTCTCCTCTCTCAGGAGAAGAGAAGAGAGCTCCCTGTGGATCAGGAAAAGTCATTCAAGGCAATGGCCTCTGCTTATGCAAGTGGGCATAGCCCCAGGGATCTCTTGTCCCAGCTTGGGGACAAGATACCAATAGTGGACTTTTGGTCTCTCCTTTCCGAGCATCTTTAGGAATAGGAAATATACTGGTGGCCCAGGGTTGACTTCCTGTCCCCTCTTCCGTACCCAGAGGCAAGATGTAGCATCTCCATCCTTAGCCACGACTCCCTCTTTTACACCTCCTGCTGTGAGTATGTCATCTGGACATTGGGTGTGGGAAGTCAGACGCCAGTTCTGACCCCATCTACCATCTGTGTGGCACTGGGCAAGTAACTTCACCTCCCCGCGCCTCGGTTTTCCAGTGCGTAAATGGGGGAACAGCTGCCCCACGAGGTTGTCATAAAGGTCTAATTAAGTATTTCCTCACTGATAGGATGGCTCTTTAAGGGTGTAGCAGTTAGCCATGTGATGCTGTAACAAGCAAGCCTCCAACTGTCCTCAGAGGGCTCGCCTGCTGTCTGTTTTCCTGCTCACACAGGGGCCACTGTAGCTGGCTTCCCTCCACACAGGGTCATAGGGATCCAGGCTCCATGCACCTGACCTTTCCTGGGGCCGCATCTTCCTGCTTTCTGCCTAGTGGGAAGAGAAGAGAGAGAGAAGTCCTCCTAATTATGTAAAGATTGGTAGCCATACTCTCCCCTTGATTGTCACCTGCCACACAGGGGTGCATGCTAGGGACTGACAGGCTGCTGGGGTAGCGGGGGCAAGTGGAGACAGCCATGCTGAGGGAGGCCGTGGGTTTCTGGCCTTGCTGTAGTCGGAGCTCCGTGCTTCTTTTTCTGCTGGCTCTGTGTGATAGCAGAGTGTCTGTTACTCCAACTCATCCACTTCAACGTATCTGCTGCCCCAGCACCCAGCACTGAGCAGGGTACAGTGTCTATGCATCATGAGTTGGGAACGTGGACCAGTGGACGGAAAGAGACTGGGCCCTGCAGCTCTCCTGGCATTTACAGCCAGTCTGTGACCCTGGGGACCCACCCTGCCTCATCGACTAGACTGCTGGAGTCCCGTGTCTGTGTGTGTGTGTGTGTGTGTGTGTGCAATGGCAGGTCTCATGTCAATGGAGTGGGAGCCTCTGTGAGCACCCTTGGAGAGGTCATTCAACCTGGGTGACCCCCAACTTGCTGCAGAGGGATGACCAAGGTGATGGAAGGGACCCCCCCCTCGGTCCTTCCTTGTTAACATAACCTGCCCTGCCCCCCCACCCCATGCCAGTAACTACCCTTCTATGTTTCCCTGTGCTTGAGACCCTGGAGGATACCACAGTAGATGTGGCAGGTGTCCTGTGGTCACTTGACCATCTGGGGTGTTTCTGGTGGTCCCTACTTCCTCCCCTGATGGCCAATGGAGCACAGAGACAATATAGATTAGGCAGGCAGGAGCAGGAGGCGACCACTGTGACAAGTTGAGTAGGTTCTACTTCCTTGCCAGGCTGGTAAGAACTTGGCTTTAAATTCTTAACCTAAATAGAGTCATCTCCACCCTGCCTCCCCCTAGGATGCAGAGCACTTTTTTTGGAGCAATTAAGGAAAAGCATAAATCAGTCCGGGTTTAAAAGCTCCCTCCATCTGACTCCGTGGCTGGCTAAAATTAGAGTCTCCATAAAGGATGGGGCAGGGAAAGCAGAGGCTCACCACAGCTGGGGGTGAAGCCAGGCTTCAGGCCAGAGCTGGAGCAGGCAAGGCCGCCAGCCCACCTCACCTCTGCTGACCGGAGCTCCTGGAAGTCTGACTCCAGACTTGGACCTCCCAGATGCCCCACTCTGGGGGAAACTGTGTGCAGAGGGACGGAGCAAACTCACACGTTTCCCGTGTGGCCTTGAGCAGATCACTCCATGTCTCGGAGACGACAGTGTCTGCATCTAACAGCCCTTTCCCACGCGAGCGGATGAGGTTTGAGTGAGCACTGATGAGCCTAGCTGGCTGGGGTGCAGGCTGAGCACCCCACAAAAGTGCTCGGGTCAGAACGCTGTAAGTATTTGGCCTTTGGACTCCCGTGTGCCTGGCACACTACCCTGGAGATGGGGCTGGAATCTAAACAGTAACTTGGAATTGGTTTATCTCATCTACATTTTATACACGGAGCCCACGGGGAAGTTCAGACAAGATCAAAATGGTTCCAGGTTCAAGACAAAGTTTTCAGTGTGGAATTTTCTGCTTATGTCTCCCCACATCTTTCAGAAGGTTACAGGCCTTGGAGAATCTTGGACGTTAGCTCTTTTGATTAAGGGTGCTTGCCTGGGTCCACAGCTTACGAGACTGGTCATACCTCTGTCTCCTCTGACCTGGCCACTACAGCACACAGTGGGAACAGGAAATGTGACCCTCATCTTAGCCAGTAGTGACCCCTTAGTGACACATCCCCAAGTGACACATCTCTTATGCCCCCCAAACCAGTTCAGGCTAGCTCATAGCATAGGCCCAACAGCAGGGTTTCCGGGTGCCCCTTCAGTCCCTGAAGACTGACTGGGTCTGTCCCTGATGCTCACACAATGTCTTCCTCCTCTCAGAGCCTTGGCCCCTGAGCACTAGGACCATTTGGGGAGCCTTCCCTTTGCAGGTAAGAACCAAGTGAGACGCATCTCACACTCAGGAGGCCGTTGCCCAGTTTCTACCATGTGCTGGGCTTCACTGTGCCACTCTCCACAGAGCTGGTGGCAGCAGAAGAGAAGATGCTAGAGCATCTGGGAGCATGCAGCTGCTCTGAGGTGAACAAGCGAGAGGAAGGATGAGAGAGAGTGAGTGAGTGTGTGAGTGAGTGTGTGAGTGACTGAGTGAGTGAGTGTGAGTGTGTGTGAGTGAGTGACTGAGTGAGTGAATGTGAGTGAGTGTGTGACTGAGTGTGAGTGAGTGAGTGTGTAAGTGTGAAAGCGTGTGAGTGTGAGTGAGTGTGAGTGAGTAAATGAGTCATTGGAGACACAAGTGACTGAGTGAGTGAATGTGAGTGAGTGTATGTAAGTGAGTGAGTGTGTGAGTGTGTGACTGAGAGTGAGTGTGAGTGAGTGAGTGTGAGTGAGTGAGTGTGTAAGTGTGAAAGCGTGTGAGTGTGAGTGTGTGTGAGTGAGTGTGTGAGTGAGTGTGAGTGAGTGTGTGAGTGAGTGTGTGAGTGAGTGTGAGTGAGTGTGTAAGTGTGTAAGTGTGAAAGCGTGTGTGTGAGTGAGTGTGAGAGTGTGAGTGAGTGAGTGTGTGAGTGAGTGTGAGTGAGTGAGTGTGTAAGTGTGAAAGCGTGTGAGTGTGAGTGAGTGTGAGTGAGTGTGAGTGAGTGAATGAGTGAGTGAGTGAGTGAGTGAATAGAATGGTAGCTGCGGACAGGAAGGAGGAAATGAATGGGGGAGTGAGGGAATGAGCGTGTGACGGATGAGCGAGTGGAAGACTGCTCCTCCTCTCTGAGGTCTCCTTACCCACCCTACCGTTCCTGGGAGCCCTGCACAGCTGTGGAGACCCTGCCCTGCCCACTCCCTGCCAGCCACTGAGAATGCACATAGGCTGAGGCACAGCCATCTCTTAGGCCCTCCAGGGCCAGACATTCACCTGTCTTCTGCCTGTGACCCCCCCAGAGCCCTTGTGTGGACCACTGTGACAGCTTCTCTGTGGGATGGGTTCACAGCTCCCTCTGGGGTGAGTTAATTCTCCCAACTTACTGGCTCATCTCCAGGCCTCTTATCTGGGAGTAAGCTTTTGGGCAAACACATTAGGGCCAGCTGGAGCCTTTTGATAAACACCTGCCTCCTCGTCTGGCCCAAAGCTGGGTGCCCGCCCGCCTGACTGGCCAGCACCTTTTGGGCCACGCCTTGCTGTTGCCCACCATCAAGTGTGTCCAGCCACCGAGCACCCACTTCCTGGAGTCCTGACAAGCCCTGGTGCCTGAGCCCTGGCTCTCTGTCAGCGGCAGTCAGCCATGGACCTCACTCAGTTAGTCCAGGGAGCTGAGGTGAAGAAAGCCTCACACAGCTCCTGGCTATGCACCGAGGACTGGGCGTGTCTGGGTCTGGTACCCAGTGCTCCCCTCAGCCCTGAGAGGAAGGAACTGTCAGTATTCCTGCTTCACACTTGGGACAACTGACGCTCCTGGTACAGTCACTAATAGAGATGAGAGTGACTAATGTTGCCCTTCTGTGTTGAGCTGTCTGTGGCTCCCAGTACCTGAGGCCCCAGCGTCATACTGACTGTAAGAGACCTCGGAGTCTGCCCCTCACATCCCATACTCCAACGCGCAGTGAGGGGAGACACCTTGGGGAAACGGAGACTTAAATGGGCTTCACAGCTGTGATTTGTTTGCATGGGTTTCCACCATGGACGGCAGATTTTCATGAGTTTATCATCTGGTGATCCCACCACAACCCTTCGAGGTAAGCAAGACATATTTGTTTAACAAATATTTATGTACTACTCACCGTGCGCTGGGCACGCTTTGAGACACCTTATGAATATTAATACCCTTAATCGGCATTAACAACACTGCACTGGAGTCTACTATTTCCCCCATTTTATGAGCTAGGACATTAGGCACAGAGAGGTTAAGACACTGACTTGAGGTCACATAACAGGTGAAAAACAGTTAGTCAATGAGGCTGCGACTCCTTCAGGTATCTCTGCCTACCCAGCCTAAGGCTGAGGATCAGGACAGCCAGGGCTGGGATTAACACATGGGCACCAGCATCAGTGAGTTTTAAGATCTGTATCTCGCGTGGATATAACATAATCCCTCCCAGGCCACAGGCCGTCTTTCTTCCCAGATGCTTCTTTGTGCTGATGTGGGTTTTACATCTTCCACGTCAAGGCCCGAGAAAGTTGCAGGGCCAGAGGCCACAGCATAGTCGCTCAATTCTCAGGGCTCTGGGGGCTCCCTCCAAAGAAGAGCTGATGCAGGGGTTTGGGCATGGCTGGTGTCTTTGGGAGTAACTCCAAGAGGCAGCTGCAGTGTGGAGGGAAGAGGTTGCTGACCTGATGAGGACCAGGGACGCTTTGGAATGCAAAGTCCTGTCTGGCACCACAAGGAGTCAAGCCCACAGGTGGCAGATTCCGAGAGAGAGAGAGAGAGAGAGAGAGAGAGAGAGAGAGAGAGAGAGAGAGAGAGAGAGAGAGAGAGAGAGAGACAGAGACAGAGACAGAGACAGAGACAGAGAGAGGAGAGAGAGAGCAAGAGAGAGAGAGAGAGGGAGAGAGAGAGAGAGAGGGAGAGAGAGAGAGGGAGAGAGAGGGAGGGAGAGAGCACGCATGTGTGCGTGTGTGCATGCGCGCGCACACGTGTGGTGTGTGTGTGTGTGTGTGTGTGTGTGTGTGTGTGTGTGTGTAGGGTACCCAGTGTGGTTGCTAAGCTTCTGCTCTGTCTACAGATGGAGAAACTGAAGCACAGAGAGGCAGCCCCACAGTCTGTGACTGAGGAAGGAATCAGGCTGCCGATCATGGAACATAAATGGCGTGCCCACTGTGTGCTGGCTGGTAGCTCTATCCTGACAGTTGTCTTGGTGGAACTCAGTCCCTCCTGAGACCTGGGTCTCCCCTGGGCTCAGCCTGTATTTTCTTGATTCTCAGGGACGGTCCCAGTCACAGATTCTTTTATTCCATTCGATAAAGACCATTTGTGGCATATGTAACCCAGCATGCAACATTTAAACCTCTGTAAAATGCTTTTCGTGAGCGAATTCACTGTTCCCTTCCCTGTAGGAGTGCATGAGGAAGTACTGTGGCCACTGAGCAGAACGGGGGTGAAGGCGACTCACACCCCCATGAGAGACAGAAACTCTCAACCTCTCCACAGCTGGAAGACTTGGGGCTTGTTGGGTGATATCTCCCAGTTGGTGCATGGCCTCTGGGCTGTCTCACCCTCCCTTCTGACACCCTGATGGTCCTCAAGATCCCCACCTTCCCACAAAAGCCATCCAGCTGGACGAGGTTGTGGGCAGACCCCCGGGCATGCTGGTACCTGCCGGTCTGATTTCTGTTGCCATAACAGAATACCAGAGGCTGTGTCATTTATCACAACATAGAAGTTTATTTGGCTTGTAGTTCTAGAAGCCGGAAGTCTGGAGCCTGGCAAGGGCATCTGCTTGGCAACAGGTGACCTTGGGGTGTAGCCGGAGGTTCAGCCCAACTCTGGGTTGAAGTCTGGCTCCACTGTGTGCTAGGGAGTGGCCCGGGACAGACTGCTCAGCTGCTCAAGTCCTGTGCCCTCCCCTGTGAGATGAGCTAAGTTAACTGTGCCTGCCAGTGCCTGCACCCCAACACTGGGACTCTTCCTGTGCCTCTGCCCCACTGTAAGATCAGCTCTGTCCGAGGACCCACCCCAGAACTGAGAGCCACAGTGGTTCTGAATCAAGGGCAATGGGGTCCCCAGCAGCATTGGGCCTAACCACCCGTAGGCCAGCTGCACGGACATCTGTGGCAGGAGAGACTTCTACAGCAAAGAGGTGGGATGATGTAGGCCCCATCTGCTAATGATGACAAGTTGGCTTTAAAGTAAGAGAAATTGGGATCGCACGCAAGAAGGCACTTTTCATCTTTGGATCAGCAAGGTTGGCTATCTGGTTCTCTACTGGCTGTGAGTAGGATGGAGGCAGAGGGAAGAGGAGCCTGAAGTCTGGGCCTGAAGACAGGAAGAGGGGGAGAGAGGAGGAGGGCAGGCAGGTACTCAGAGAGCCAGCAGGCAGCCGAGAGAGGCCCAGAGGCTCCGTTCCCTGTTCTGCTCTTGCCAGAGAAATGAGGCAAACGGCTTCACCTCTCGGGGCCCCGTTTCCTTCTCAGTAAAAATGGGAAAAACAACAGCAAATTCTGCTAGCTTGGCCCACTGTTTCTTCAGTTTCCATCCAGAACTGTACAGTCCACAGGCACGATTTCACACACACCATGTCCAGCATAGACCCTGTGTGGTCTACACTGCACCCTGCCCTGAGCGGCCCTTTCTGTCTTCACAGCAGCTTGGCTGGAACGCTGTCTCTATTTACAAAGGAGAACACTGAGGTTTAGAGAGGTTGACCAGTTGTTCATTGTCACACAGCGTCAGGCTGGAGAGTCAGTACTAGAGCTCAGGGATCCAAACCTGGCTTGGGATGGGACTCTGGAGTCAGTCTGGGTCTCCAGTGTGCACCTGCTGGCCTCTGGTGGGAAGGCTCGTGACCCGGACACAACCAATGAAATCACTACCTCTGGTTAATCTACAGGCGAGCATTCAGTAGTGCTCGGCTAACCTGACATGAAGGGGGACTTGTGCCAGGCGGAGGGCAGGCTCCATGGGGGCCTCTTCTCTGAGGAACCCGAAGGAGATGTTCAGTTCCTCTGTGCCTCAGTCTCCCCATCTGCGGCCCTCAAGGCTGGTGTCCAGATGGGGATGAGGGTGGTCCAGTGACAGCGGCTGTCCTGTGTGAGAAATGTCTGGGAAGCCAGGCTTCCCACAGCCTCAGATGAGCCAACTTTACAAAGGAATTCTCGCCTTTCTTGATTCTGTGAGGGAGGCCTGAAAGCTGCCAGTAATCAGAGTGTTTGAGGCACAGGACAGAAAATAGCGCCTTCACCAGGTGCCATTATCCCACCCGCCATCCTGAGCAGGGGGGCATTGTCAGCTGGAGGGAAGACTGGAATGGAGAGATTTCTCTCTTAGAAGTCATCACCTTGCATCCAGGGACAAGGCTGCCCTGGCCTTTGTTCCCCGACTCTCACTGGTGTCTAAACGCCACCCATTACCCTGTTTTCACCACCAATTCCCTGGATTCATCCTCCTGAACCACCTGGGGGACTCTATAGACACACGAAAGCATTCAAAGTTAATGGTGAAGCCAGTGTGGAAACTAAGCCGTAAACCGGCCTCCTCCCTGTGCCCAGCATCCGGTCCCTCCCTCCCGACTCCTGCCTGGCAGTGTGAGCTCCGCTGCCCTAGTTGGCACTGGGCCCTTGGACATAGGGAATAGAGGCAGTGAAAGTCCTAGGGGTGACCTTCCTCCTGCTAGGGACATTCTCTTCTGGCCAACAACACACAGGCAATAAATACGGCCATAATTTATGTAGATGTTTTGGAGTCCTGCAGAAGGGTGAGTGGGGACCAAGATGGTAATATCCCTCATGTCAGCTTTGAGGGCAGTCAGTAGTTCAAGTTCAGTGAGCATACGTGTGAGCCCCTGTGGACACAGAACTGAGGGTGTGTGTGTCCTTAGTGTGTCCTTGGGTCCCCAAAGGACTCTGGGAGGAGACAGGGCCCAGATGTGGGAGGGATACTGCATGCAGCTCTAGCGTTTCCAAGCTCCTCTCTTCCTCCTGGGGAGACCTGTCAGTTGTAAGCCCAGCCTGGTCTTGTAGGTCCTGTTGGGCCAGAATTGAATGTGGCTGGCTGTGCTATGCAACCTTGAGAGGCTCTCCCACCCTCTCTGATGCTGTGGAGGCAAGGGCATCATGAGGAACTTGCATGGCATTGTGAAGAGCCAGGCAGAGCTGGAGGTGAGACATGCCAGTGGCTCTCATCTCTGTCACTTTCCCACTTCCTTGCAAACTTGGAGGGGCCAGACTGGTTGCTGAGCCTGCCTCAGGGCCTCCAGTGAGAATCCTTGTGTTCCCGGTGGGTTGTGCTGTATGGAATCATCGTGCGTCCGTTCCGGCCCATGCCCTGGAGATGGCCCTGGATGGGAACCCATCCTCCCCTCCATCCCCTCCAGGAAGCAAGCCCTCAGAGTGGGCCATGGGAGGGGCAGGTCGGCTGCTCCCATCCCACACCCTCAGACCTTGGCAGAGAAAAGATTCCTGTCTTCTAGAGGGAGTGGGAGGACCAGGGTAGGGTCCCCCAGCCAGCCTGTGTCACGGCCAGGATTGCGGCCATGAGAGTCTCAAGAGTCTTATTGGGGTTATCATCAGATATTCTCCACCCCCGCTCCTCACCCCCACCCTCTTAGCACCCTTCCCAACCTTAACCAGCTTCCAGCGGTGTCACGTGACTCCCCCCCCCCCCCCGCCCCGGTTGTCAAATGAACAGAGCTCTTGGCTCAGAGAGGGTAGGTGATGACTTAAGGTCACACAGTGAAGCCGATGTCACATGTGCCTCCTCTTCTCACTCACACCCCCCATATCCAGAATCTGGCTGCTTCTCTCTGTTGCCACTGCCGCCCCCAACCCAGGCCACCATCTGCCATTCCTGCTTCCTCCCAGCTGGCCCTGGCTGCCACTCTCGCCCTCCATCTCAGCTCCTCATGGTGCCCAGAGACACGTTATTAAAATGTAAATCAGATCCCCCGACTGCTTCCCAGCTCAAACCCTCCAAGGCTGTTGTACTTGACTCCTAATCCCACAGCTCATCCAGCCTGCAGGCTGCTGCCTCTGTGGCCTTACCTTCTCCCCTGTCTTCCCCCACACACTTAGGGTTTTGGCTCCCTTGGGGCCTCCTGGCTGTCTCCCCACACCCCTTGTGAGGAGCTGTGCAATCAGAGTCCTTAGATATCTTACCTGAGGTGGTGCAGCTGGTCAGCAGTAGCGCCCGGAAGTTCTGTTCGGCATGCAGGCTCTGAGCCTCAACGCCCATTGTGAGCTGGTCTGTTTTATTCTCTGTGCTGTCTCCGATGCCCAGGGCAAGGTGTGCTCAGAGGATAGAGGAACATGGACCCAAGGAATGCAAGACCCAGGGGGGCCCTCAGAGGCCAAACCCAGGGAGGCAAAAGGGAGAGGGAGAGGCGGGTCTGTGGCTCTTTGGGAATGTTTTTGTTGTCCTTAGCTAGTGAGGCTATTTGTATGCAGTGTGGAGTGGCCACCCCATACAAAACGACCAGTGTTTGCTACAAGCTCAGACCCAAAGACCAGAGCTTAAGTTTGAGCAGGCATGCCCGGGGCCCTGTGAGGCAGCCTGCTGGAAGGCATGTGGCTATATCCCCAGGTCTCTAACAGGCTGAGTCCAGGGACAGGGCTCTGGGTCTTTATTGGCCCACAGAGCATCTCACTGGGACAACAGGGCTAAGTGTGTGCCACATGTGTGCCCTGAGCTCTGCCAGTCAGTGCTGGGACTCAGACCAGCAGCCAGCAGGGCCATGGGGCCACTTCGGGTAATGATACATAGATAGGAAAGCAGGGAGACTGGGGTGCTTGGGAAGCAAGGGCAGAAAGGTCCTTGAGATATTGGGGTGAGACCCCTGTGTAGCAGGGAGGGTGACTGGACAGAAAGGGCATCTGACAAGTGCAGGCTTTTGGCTGTGTAGCTAAATGACTAAATCACTAACTGGTGTTGTCGATACAGGTGTCCGGGAGACATGGGACAGTAGCAGCTCAGAACTGGTGTGGTGTATCTCATGGAGCTGGCCAGATGCCTGCCCAGTGCACCAGTGTGCCCAATGCTGCCTGGCTCAGTAGTGAGCCCCATACCTGGAAAGAGCTCTTAGCAAGGTAACCCCAGGGCTCAGCTCTCCTGGTCTTCATACCCCCCTTCCACAGCTCCGTGACTGTGGTTCAATGTCCCCCTCATCACTTATTTGTAAAATGTCTTAAAAGTCTACTGTAGGGTCTGATGCTTCTGAAAACCCCAATGAAGCCCCAAACAGAATGTGGGCTCTGAGCATCTGGAATCCAGAACCCCCAAATCCAAAATGGTTCTAACTCCAGGTGCCAGCCCAGAATCCTGACCAAAAATTTCACACCAGGAACTGTTTCATGCACAAAATAATGAAGTGCATTGTATGTGGCCTGGTGGTATTGTGCAGTGTGTGTGGAACCCTGGTTCCTCTCACACTGCAAATAAACTATCATCCATCCATCCATCCATCCACCCACCCACTCATCCATCCATCCATCCACATATATGGTATGAAATTGCCACGAGAGCATGTCAGAGTCACCTGTAAAGCGAACATGAATTTGGTGTTTAGGATGTTGACTGATCTTAGCTGTCAGCTTGGTAGGATCTAGACTTGCCATGGAGATGAACCTCTGGGCATGGCTATGAGGGATTTCTATCTTGGGTTAGCTGAGGTGGGAAGATGTATCCTGAATGAGGATGGCACCACCCATGGGCTGGGGTGAATAAAATGGAGGAAGTGAGCTGAGCACCAGTATCCATCTCTCTCTGCTTCCTGACTGGATGCTGTGTGACCTGCTTCCTCAAACCCCTGCTGCTGTGTCCATCCCACCGTGGATGTGACTGTAGATAAGTCCCCCCCTCCTCTAAGTTGCTTGTGTCGTGTTTTGACATAGCTGTGAGAAATGAGCCCTTTCCAAGCTCCCGCATCATGGACACAGGGTGCAGTTCAGTTGGAGACGTTATGACCTGGGCATTTTGGATGAGTGTTGGGAGAAGCCTCTGGCCGGTACTCACTCAGAGCCCTGGACATTCTAGGCTCTCAGCATCTTCACCTGGAATTTGGAGCTACTGCTGGGACTGTGTTAGAATCACGTACTGCTTCCCGATCTGGGGACCCACTGTGTCTCCACTTGACTTCTTAGGAGCTGTGGAAACTGGTGGCAGCTTCATCAGTCCCCCTCAGCCTCAGTTTCCCCACAGAAGGACTATCAAAGCTGTCTTTGTAGCAAGGGTAAGGACTAGAAAAGAGGATGCCCAAAGAGCCTAGGGCAGAACCTACCCACAGCAATGACTTTGCAAGCCACTGCTGTGCGTGCCACAGCATGGTGACATCCCCAGGGACACATTGACCCTGCCCTAGGTTGCCAACAGCAGTAGCACAGGGCGCTGAAGGGAGAAGAGTCCCAAGGCTGTTCCAGCTTGGAACAGGTGCCGTGGCTGGGAGATGGAAGCTTGTCTCTTCCCCTTCCCAAGGAGAGTAATGGCTGACTTTTTTCTCCTGGAATTGTCCCTTCCTAATGATTTCAGAGGCCAGCGCTGACATCCCTGTCCTCATGGGCACAGAAGGCCTCTCAATCCCCACTGAGCTCTACATCTGGCCCATATCCAGCCTGCGCCTAGCCTGAACTGAGTCCCATGCCCAGGCCTGTCCTCTGCACTCAGCTGGGCCCTGGCACCTGCCGTCCATCAGGTAGCTGCAGCCAGCACAGCGATTGCTAGTTAAACAGCAGTGCAGAGTCTCACCCTGAGCCAGGTGGGGCCTGGTCCTCTCCTCCCACCCTGTGGCTAGGTTAGCATCCAACTTCATAGATGAGGCCATTCGGGTCAGGGAGGCCACGTGACCTGTACAGGGGAAGAGAAACGGTTGATTCTGCAGCCAGGTATGAGTGACCGTGCCTGGGAATGTAGATCAAGGTCACCCCAAATATCATGTTCAATGAAGAGCTTGTAGTTAATAGAACAGCAGCAGTAATGAAGACCAGGAGTCCAGTTTTTCAGATACAGCTATAGAAACATGAGGTAGGCAGGTTATGGGAAACCATTGTCATAGGCCTCAGGCGGTACCTGAAGGCATTCTTAGACTTCGGTGGAATCTGGGAGTCAGTTTGTACATTGCAAATGGATTTTACCTGATAGCCAAAAGGGTGTCGGGTTAAAAACAGATAGGCAACTGCTGGCTATTCAGAGGGCTAAAGGTACCTTGGTTAGGATTTGCAGCATTCCAACTCTCAGAATCTCTGAAGAACTTCATCTGTCTATCATAGTGTGTTTAATGCAGGTGCAGGCTTTGTGGGAGATTCTTCCCCCCACCCTCATGCTGTGTGACTAAGTCCATCACCATGCCTCAGAGCTGCTGTTGGCCCACCTCATTCCCCAGCAGAGTTCGCCTCACTCTAGGAGACACTGACGCTCAAAGCAGGCCTGGGCACAAGTGACCCAGGTTGTAGGAGTGACAAGCCCGAGGCTCCATGTCCATCCTCCAAGGCCTCGGTTCTGAGCTCTCATTCCCGGGAACTGTCACTCACAGACTTGCTGCTGAGATTTCACTGTCCTGTGACCACAGCGGCCCAACTGGCCGTTGCATTAGCACCCAGCTCAGGATGGGTTTCAGACCCTCACTCTGTGGGAGCTGCCAAGAAATGGTGGCTTCAGGTCCTGGCTCCACCCTCTTTGTACTCTGTGACCTTGGGTCTGAGCTTTTCTTCCATATGTACAAAGGAGATGATGATGCCTGTTAGCATGACTGCAGTGGAGTGACTGTTGCACAGTCTGCTGGGCGTTTCTTAGGAACCCACCCAACACCAGCTGTGCCACAGAGAGAGGCTAGCACCCGCCCAGGCGCTTCTCCATGGGTGATGCTGCTGAGCCCCAGAATGGGAGGGGCCCTGGGCATTCAGAAAGCCTCGTCCCTGCTGAAGGGCCTCTGTCCTGCAGGGACAGGATGGTTGTGCGACCCCAAGGATGGCCAACCTGAGCCGGGGGCTGAAGGTGGACTGCTCAGGGGCCGTGGGCACAGGGGAAGCGGGGAAGCGCTCTGGCAGGCCTGGAAGCCGGGAGTGTTGAGCTTTCTGGATGCTAGAGCTCTGACGTGACCTTGCTGTGTTTCGCTCATAGCCAGGGGAGGAGGAAGCTAATGAGGAGTAGGTGCAAGGCCGGCAGGCTAATTGATTAATGCCGGGCTGTGTTTTGATGAGAGACACGGGGCTGGTGAAAGGTGAGGTATTAGTGCTCGCACACATAATTTCATGTCTGCGGATGGCAGTCTGTGTAAACAGTTACCCAGCAGGAGCCAATCTAGTAAGCAGCCCACTGCTCCAGGCTCCTCCACGGCCCTGGGGCAGGGGTTAGCCCTGATTGGCCTTTTCCACCGTGCGAGTATCATTCTGACTGAGCAAGCCCATGCCCAGGACTGTGGCTGCCTCTTCTATTGCCTTCCACTGAGGTGCAGCCTCCTTGAAGAAAGTGACCTTTGGGGAAAGGAAGCATACCTCCAGCAGAGCGCGTGCATCCATCTTGTTCATGTTATGTCTCTCTCCTCCTCTTCGAAGACCAGGAGACGAGTTCAGAGAGACTAAGCAATGGGTCCAAGGATGCACAGCAAGTGGGTGTCAGAGCTAAGACTCCTATCTCAGCCAACTTGGCTCTGCACCTGAACTTGGTCTTCAGGAAAGCGAGGTCAAGGCCACTGTTCCCAGGCCTGGAGCCCAGTGGAGGCCTCACCTGCTGAGCATCCTGGCCAGGGACGGTTCCAGGCAACCCTGGGTTCCACTAGCCTCCAGCCATCTAACCTCTATCTGCCTCCAAGTCTGTGTAGCCAGAGAACAACCTCATAGTGCGACAGGGGGTTGACAAGGGTAGGCTGAGGCCTGGTTCCTGTTCGGCAAGTCCCATAAGAACCTTCTGACTCCCACAGCTTTCTTTATCCCCAGACCTGGAGGGGATAGGACCTGAGGCTTCCACACACTAGGCAGGCACTCCGCCACTGAGCTGCACCCCAGTTCTTCCCGCCTCTGAGCTGCACCCCGGCTCTGCCCGCCTCTGAGCTGCACCCTGGCTCTGCCCGCCTCTACACTGCCTTCCTCCTCCACAGTGCCAGCCTCAGCTTCCCTCTGGTTCTCCTAGATCTTGGGGACTTAAAGATGCTGACACTGCCTCACCCTTTGCCCCTTGACCTGGGAACCAAGGTCCCAGTGGCTCACCTGCTCTATCTCCTTGCAGTGAGTGGCCTTACCCTTTGGCCGCCCAGTCCACTCTGTGGGTCTCTGCTGCAGCCCCATCTGCAGTCGCCCGAGGCTGGTGCTTGGCTCCTCTCTGTGGCCCCATGTCATCCTCCTGCAGCAGCTGTGTCTCCTCTGGCTTCTGCCTACAGGTCAGGCCAGTGGTTGGGAAGTCAGGCCACTTCGTCCCCACCTCCCTCCTCGGGCTGCAGGGCTAATGGACACTAAGTGGTTATTTTGCAGACGAGGAAACAGCAATTAAGGAAGCCTAAGTAACTTTCCTGGGGTCACAGATTTGGTTCTCATTCGGTTCCAGATCCATGATTTTTCTGCTTCATCAGGTTGCCTGAGATGGACGGATCCTCACAGGCAAGCATCTTCCCCATGGGATGTGGCATTCCCCTTGCATCACCTCCATCAGACACTATAGGCTGTGTAGGAGCAGAAGCTGTGCATC